TTGTTTAAGAAGGGTAGCAAGGACAATCCTGGAAATTCAAGGCCTGCGAGTCTCATGTCAGTAGTAGGGAAATTATCGGAAAAGATTCTCAGGGATTTAGAAGCAAATGGACTTATTAGCAATAGGCAACATGGTTTTGTGCGGTGGAAGTCATGCTTCACTAACTTGATCAAGTTTTTTGAGGAGGTGACAAACATGATTGATGAGGGAAAAGCGGTTAATATTGTCTACATGGACTTCTGTAAAACCTTTGACAAGGTCCCTCATGGCAGACTGGTACAAAAGATAAAGTCACATGTTATTGGGGTGATCTAGCAAGATGGATACAGAACTGGCTTAGTCATAGGAGACACACGGTACTGGTGGAAGGATGCTTTTCGAAAAGGAAGACTACTGTGACTAGTAGTGTTCCACAGAGATTAGTGCTCGGACTTCTGCTGTTCATGATCTACATAAATGATTTGGAGGAAAACATGGCTGGTCTAATTAGTTAGTTTGTGGATGATACACAGATTGGTGGAGTTGCGGACAGTGAGGAGGATTGTAAAAGGATACAGCAGGATGTAAATCAGTTGGGGACATAGGCAGAAAAATGGCAGGTGGAGTTTAATCCTGACAAATGTGAGGTGATGCAATTTGGAATGTCAAATACAGGTGGAAATTATACAGTAAATGGCAGAACCCTTAGGTGTATGGATATGCAGAGGGATCTGTGTGTGCAGGTGCACAGATCACTGAAGGTGGCAGCGCAGGTAGGTAAGACAGTAAAAAAGGTTTATGGCATGCTTGCCTTCATCGGAAGGGGCATTGAGTATAAGGATAGACATGTTATGCTGCAGTTTTATAGAACTTTAGTCAGGCCACACTTGGAATATTGTATATAGTTCTGCTCATCACAGAACCAGAAGGATGTGGATGCATTGGAGGGTACAGAAAAGGTTTACCAGGATGTTGACTAGTATAAGGATTTTAGACATGAAGAATGATTGGCTAGACTGGGTTTGTTTTCACTGGAATGCAGGAAGTTGAGGGGTGACCTGATCGAAGTTTATAAGATTGTGAATGGCATTGTGAGTGGAAAGTAAGAGGCTTTTTTCCTGGGTGGAGGGGTCAGTTACTAGGGGACCACAGATTCAAGGACACCATCACCTTGATAACTTGTTAGGATCTCTCTATCTTAATTAGTTACTTTGGTTAGATGCTCGTCATATGACTCTTTTCCCTATGACGTTATTCCAGCCATTTGTTTTGTCTCGAGTACCATCTTATTTTTGACTACCTGCAATTATCTCTCTGCCTCGATTAATCAGATTATAGGTCATCCCTTCACTTGCTGTTCAGGTATTGACACTTTACTGACACCATTTGACATTTTTGATCACCTGCAAAGACTTGTTATTCAGCCCACACTCCACTACACATCATTTGTACTATTTTTCAACATTCGTAATTACCTGGAATTATCTTGAAACGATCTTTCCACCTATAAATTCTGTGCCTGTGCACTTCCCTTCAATTTACCTGATGAAGGGGCTGCACTCCAAAAGCTTGTGATTTCAAATACAACTATTGGACTATAACCTGGTGTCATGTGACTTCTGACATTGTCCACCCCAGTCCAACAGCGGCACCTCCACATCATCTTGAAAGTACTATTCATGTGTATTAGTGCTGTGTTGATAACCCAACAGACAACCTTTCTTTCAAATGGCACGTCAATTTATTTTGTACGCAGTGAATTTATTGCCTACACAAGAAAAAATAGGTGATGCAAGTGTACCGTACTTCCAATGAGTCATGTTCAGTGACCTGAGCAACATTTATCCTTCAAACAACATCAATAAGTGGATTATCTAGTCATTAACAATTGATTTATATGGGACCTTGCTAAACCCGAATCATATTTCTTAAACTACAATAGTGATTCCACTTAAAATGTACTGCATTGGCTGCAAAGTGCTTTTGGTACATCCAGCAATCTTGAAAGTGTTTTAGGAAACAAAACAAAAACAGAAGTTGCTGGAAAAGCTCAGCAGGTCTGGCAGCATCTGTGAAGGAAAAAACAGAGTTAACGTTTCGGGTCCGGTGACCCTTCCTCAGAACTGAGTAAGTGAGTGGATAGAGGGGTTCTGAGGAAGGGTCACCGGACCCAAAACGTTAACTCTGATTATTTTCTTCACAGATGCTGCCAGACCTGCTGAATTTTTCCAGCAGCTTCTGTTTTGTTTCCTGGTTTACAGCATCCGCAGCTCTTTTGTCTTTTATTTTGAAAGTGTTTTAGTTGCTTTTCTTTTTCCTATTCAAATTACAGCTAAAATTTCTTTTGTTTAAATAGATCCCAAATGTTCATACCATCCACACATAAAAAGAACAGTTAAACTGTTTAAAATTTATTTAACACACGGCATTTAAAACGACACCTTGTTAAAGTATAACTTGCTGTTATTGATAACCAGATTATTAGTTGGATGTCTTGATCAGTAGTACTGAAGTAGACATTTTAATTTCAATGCTATTGGTAATATTGTTACAATGAATCACTGCAGATGCAAATTCACAGCTCCACGTTTGACGGTGACATTGTTGGGTTTTAACCATTCAGAATTACTCGTGGAACAATATAGTTGCTACTTTGTAACTAAGTTTTGATCTCTGATTTGATGTATATATGAACCAAAGTAATTAGATTTTGAAGAGCCCTGTTTGCACTCTGATACAGCTGGCACTGGCCAGATTCTCCAAAGGAGGGAAAGCTGATGTCTCCCTGCCAACGAGGTATATTTTGAGAGACAGGAACAGCAGTAGTTCACACTTTAAGCCAATTAGCTTGCTGGGGAGGTGATGGCCAAGTGATATTATTGCTAGACTGTTAATCCAGAGGCACAGGTAATATTCCCAGGGACCTGGGTTCAAATCCTGACATGGCAGATGGTGGAATTTGAGTTCAATAAAAATCTGGAATCGGATATCTAATGATGGAAGATGTCAAGGGAAAAATCCATCTTTTCATTTATATCAAGCCTTACCTGGTCTGACCTACAATGTGATTGACTCTTAACTGCCCTCTGACAATTAAGGATTGACAATAAATGCTGATTTAACCAATGACACCCACATCCTAAGAATGAAAAGGAAAAAGATTTAAGGCCATTTGGCATTTGAAGGTCAGAACAGCAACCCAATAGAGGCAGTTGGATTCACCAGGACACCCTCCAGTTGGGAAGTACTATCTTCCTTCCACAGTGATAACCATCCTTATGGTTCTCTCACTAGACCGGTGGAGAGTTTCTTCAAACACCAGAGCCTACTTGTCTGGACCTCACATATTAGAAAAAATTCTTTGGTGTTCTTCAAGAACATGTAGACATCTCACCATCTGCCTGTAGCCTCAGCAACAGCGGTCATCTCCACCGGTGATGCTGACAAGGTTGCTAAGCATCTGATCAAAGCAGAGGTTCAGCAACTATCCCAACAGTAGCCCCTGGAATGGCCATCAATAGTAACTTCACTCCGCGGATCCATCATCTATCAATGCAAGCTCGAAACCATCCTCCAAGAAGGGTTCCAACCTGAAACGTCAACTTTCCTGCTCCTCTGATGCTGCCTGGCCCACTGTGCTCCTCCAGCTCCACACTGTGTTATCTCATCCTCCAGTATAAATGTGTGGGCTGATTGGAATTTTACTAACAGCATGTGGATCCTGCCATCTGCATCAAATGATTATCTCAATCAAAGGATTCTAGGGCAATGCAATATCTACACATTTATATCACAGGACTATCCAGAGGATGTGAACGTCTTGATGGAACTTCGCTTCCACAACCAAGTCTACAAAGTTGCTCATTGATCTTTCTGTTGTTATGGATGGTATCTGGCAAGTTGCAAGGGAAAATACACGTCTTTGTGTTGGGCAATGCTGATTTTCTTCTGTCAGGTTTTGGGTCTCCCTGTTCAGATAAAGGACTTAAAGACCTCAACCAGATGCTTTCACATAGAAATCTCTTTCAGAAGGTAAGTCATAGAGATGAACAGCACGGAAACAGAACCTTCAGCCAACTCGTCCATGCCAACCAGATATCCAAAATTAATCTAGTCCCATTTGCCAGCATTTGGCCCATATCCCTCTAAACCCTTCCTATTCATATACACATCCAGATGTCTTTTAAATATTGTAATTGTACCAGCCTCCACCACTTCCTCTGGCAGCTCATTCCATACACACACCACCCTCTGTGTGAAAAAGCTGCCCCTTAAGTCCCTTTTAAATCTTTCCCCTCTCATCTTAAATCTATGCCCTCTAGTTTTGGACTTCCCCTACCCTGGGGAAAAGACCTTGTCTATCTACCCTATCCATGCCCCTCATGATTTTATAAATCTTTATAAGTTTACCACTCAACCTCTGATGGTCCAGGAAAAATAGTCCCAGCCTATTCAGCCTCTCTCTATAGCTTAAACCCTCCAAACCTGGCAATATCTTGTAAATCTTTTCTGAACCCTTTCAAGTTTCATAACATCCTTCCTATAGCAGGGAGGCCAGAATTGCACGCGGAATTCCAAAAGTATTCTTTTCCATCAAAATTTCTAAAAATTGAGATAGACCAGTGTTCAAGGAACTCTGCCAAATCTAGCATTGTCCAAAAAAACTAGTATTAAAAACATGTTGTTTACACATTTCTTAGTGGAACCACCCATCATTCACAGCAAGCAAATAAACTTACATCAATGCACCCACTAAAGGAGGACGAACCACAGATATTTTCTCGTCCTTTTCTGCCAGGTTATAGATAAATGAAATACAGTTGCACCAAGTATTCATAGTGCATAATTGAAGTGAATTGATCATAAATTAAGTATCTAGAATACAGCTTAGCTACCCTTCTGTTTTTTACCTGTACTGCTGTTATATATAACACCTAAGGTAACTATAAATTCTACAATTCTGAGTGTCAAAAGTTAAAATCACCATCAATATCTTCGCCTCACATTTATTTTAACCTCACCTGTATTATTTTCCCACTCATTATTTCAATGAAAACAGCCAAGGTAACAAGAAATTTCCATTTTTTATTGTAATACTTACGTTTTATACATCTGTTTGTACCAGGGCTCACAGTCCATCCAGAACAGCACTGTCTTCCACAAACATTAGCTCTGAAAGCAAAATTTGTGTGCGCATTAATTATGAGATTTTTTTTCAAAGCACAATTCATTGTGTTTGCTATGTTAGAAAAGATATTCATTTATTTGGCCATGTTATCTGTCAGATCATTCACAAAATAACTGTAAGCGATCTATCTGGGACTCCCTGATGAATTAGCAAGTTCATCGACTAAACACTAATTAGACCGAAGGTGCTGCAGAATATGATAACGGTAAGGGTTCTGCTGTGATGTGTCAAAGACTAAGTAGGTGCTGATATTTATTGTCAATGTCTATAAATATGAATTGGTTTTCGGGGCACATAAGGCAACTGAAAATTGCAACTAAAAATATTTCTCAAAATGCTAAGTGTACAATCCTCAAAGCAGTTTGATGTCCTCTTGGAAAAAAAAAACAGAAGTTTCTGGAAAAGCTCAGCAGGTCTGGCAGCATCTGTGAAGAAAATAATTAGAATTAACGTTTCGGGTCCAGTAACCCTTGCTGAGGAAGGGTCACTGGACCCAAAATGTTAACTCTGATTTTTTTTCTTCACAAGAGTTCTGAGGAAGGGTCACCGGACCCGATACGTTAACTCTGATTTTTTCTTCACAGATCATGCCAGACCTGCTGAGCTTTTCCAGCAACTTCTGTTTTTGCTCCTGATTTAGAGCATCCGCAGTTCTTTTGGATTTTGATATCCTCTGGGGCTGCTTTGGCCCATTAGATAGTGTTCATAATGCTAATTCACTCAGGCAAATGAACAAATACTTGCTTCTCCTTTGACCAATATTCCTCCCCCGGAGAAGTGCATTACTAGGGATATTTGAATTCCATATAATTCATATACATGAGCGTACTTTTATTGCTCCAGTGAATTCTGCAAGACCCAATGAACTTATTTCCTTCTGTGTTGCAGATCACTTTATACCTCTTGGCTTTTCCTGACTGAATTCAGCCATATATTGCCAAGGAAGCTTTTCTGGGATTGATCTAAATCTGGGATTATAAGTAAAAATCCAAATGCAGCCATGACAGATCCAGAAATTCACAAAATATGTCAGCTATTCACACATTTATTTGTAGAAATTGAGAGCAGATGAGTTCCTCAGTACTTGTTTATGTACTTTTGACAATAGCTTTTTCTCATACAGTTCTTTTTGTTGTTAAATTATTTGACTTTAATCGATGTGCATTTCTTCATTTGCCAAGTTAAGACATAATCTTGCTACCTGTCCTCTGCTTTTATTCAGCCAGAAAGCAGTAGCAACATGAACTTCATTCAAACTTCAGAACACAATATTATACATGCTGCATGAAGACACATAAAGTTAAATAACAATTAACAATCAGAAGGGAGATTAAAATGCAGTCTGTCAAGTAAAATTCTCAATGGAGTCACATGCTACAAGAAACAATTGAGAAAGTATGGTAGAAAACAGCAATGCAAGGTCAGTAAAAGACTCGGAGAGAGAGGAAATATTAGATAGCAGAAAGGGATAAAATTATTTCCTCCTCTTCTTTATAGTTTACCAGCCCTTTAACAGCAATGTATCTTGAATCTAGTGTTTTCTTTTAAATCTAGCCAGGCATCTAATCCCATTTGGCCCTATTTTCTGGCCTTTCATGGTGCTTGTAGATCTCACTCAGCAATCAACCTAACTTTGGCACCATCCTTCAGATCTCTGAAGCTCTTTATATTTTGTGAATATGATCTAAATCAAGCTCAATATGAAAGTGACTTGAGTACTTTGGTATTCAATGACACCAATCATCTCTGTGTGCCATTTAATGATATAATTCATTACATTGATTTCTGGAATGTTTGTTTTTTTTATGCTGATAAATGCTATTGATTTTCCTGCATTTTGTTTTTTCTAGTTTGTGTGAAATTTGAGAGGAGAAAGGCAGTAATTTCAACTTTGTTTCCTTTTTCATGCATGTAACTGCCATATAAGAGTGTAATATATAACAGTAGAAGTAGTCTGTTCAGCCCATCAAATCTGCTCTGCTTTTCGATGAGATTATGGCTGATCTGACAATCCTCAACTCCACATTTCTTCCTTTTCCCCATAACCCTTGACTCTCTTATTGATTAAAAATCTGTCTGTCTCAGCCTTGAATATACTTAGTGACCCAGTTTCAATAGCCCACTGTGGTAAAAAAATTCCACAAATTCACAACCCTTTGAGAGAAGAAATTCCTCCTCATCTCTCTCTTAAATGTGCAACCCCTTATTCTCAGCCCTCTGGTCTTAAGACTCTCCCACACAAGGGGAAACAACCTTTCTGCATCTACCCTGTCAAATCCCCTAAGAATTGTGTTTGTTTAAATAAGATTCAAAAGACCATAAGAAACAGGAGTAGACCATTCAGCCCCTCGAGTCTGCTCCATCATTCCATAGGATCATGGCTGATCTGACATTCCCCACATCCACTTCCCTGCCCTTTCCCCCATACCCTTTGGTTGCCCCACTTATCAAGAGCCTATATGTCTCAGCCTTAAATATACACAAGGACTCTGCACTCACAGCTCTTTGGGACAAGGGGGTCCAAAGATTCTTAATCCTCTGAGAGAAGAAATTCCTCCTCATCTCAGTCTTAAATTGCCGCCTCTTTATTCTGAGACCAAGCCCCTCTGGTCCTAGACTCTCCCATGAGGGGAAACATTCTCCCAGCATTTACCCTGTCAAACCCTTCAAGAATCATATATGCTTCAATGAGATCACCTCACATTCTTATAATCGCCAGTGAGTAGAGACACAACCTTGCTCATTAGACAATCCACCATAAGGCAACCATCCTAGTGAACCTTCTCTGAATTACCTGTCAATAAAATGAAAGCTTTCCTTAAATAAGGGGACAAAACTCTTCACAGTACTCCAGTTGTGATCTCACCAGCACCTTGTACAGCTGGAGTTAGACTTCCATACTCTCACCCTGTAACCCCTTTGAAATAAGGGCCAACATTCCATTAGCCTTCCTGATTACCTGCTGCATCTGTGCTAGATTTCAGTGTTTCATGTACAAGTCCCCTCAAATTCCTTTGTGGTGCAGTTTTCTACAGTTTTCTCCAATTAATTAATATTCTGTTCTTTTGTTCTCCCTTCCAAAATGTTACATATTTTCACACATTATATTCCATTTGTCAACTTTTTGTTCACTTAACCTATCAATATCTCTCTGTAAACAGTTTGAATCCCTGTCAAATGTACTTTTCCACCAGTTTTTGTGTCATCTGAAAATCTGGCTACTCTCACTTCATTCCTCCATTTCATTATTATAAATTGTAAACAGTTGTGATCGCAGCACTGAACCTTGTGGAACCCTGCTGTTTACAGGTTACCAACCTGAAAAATAACCCTTTATCCTTATTTGTTGTTTCCTACCAATGAGCCAGATCTCTATCCACACCAATATACCTCCTCCAATATCATTGCCTGTTATCTTGTGACTTAAACTTTGTTGAGGTACCTTGTCAAACAAGTACCCAAATAAAACACCTCTACTGGTTCCCCTCTTTCCACCCTGGTTGAGCCTTTCTCAAAAAACTTCAATAAATTAGTCAGACACAATTCCCTTTCATGAAGCAATGCTGATTCTGCTTGATTAGATAATGATTTTCCCAATGTTCTGCTATTTCTTCCTTAATAATTGATTCCAACCTTTTCCTAACAATAGATGCCAAACCAATTGGTCTACACTGACCTGTCTTTGCCTCCCTCCCTTTCTGCATATAGGTGTCATATTGATAGTTTCCCAATTGTCCAGTATAATCCAAAGATTTTTGGGAAATTATGATGCCCATCCACCTAACCTACACATCTTTGGACTGTGGAAGGAAATCAGAGAACCGGGAAGAAACTGCAAACTCCACACAGTCGCCCAAGGATGGGATTGAACCTAGGACCCTGATGCTGTGAGGCAGTAGTGCTAACCACTGAGCCACTGTGCCACTACACAATATTTGAAATGTGGTCTCACAAACGGCCTATAAAATGAAGTATAATAGCCTTACTTTTATGTTCAGTTCCTCTTGAAATAAAGGGTAAGTATCCCTTCAGCTTTCATGATGCTTCACCCCCATACTAACATTTTGAGACTCATGCACTAGCACACACAAATCTTTCCACACTTCAGAATTCTGCATGTGTTCTCCATTTAAGTTCCACTCTGCCCTCTTATTCTTCTTATCAAAGTGAACACCTTCACATTTTGCCACATTATTTTTAAATCTGCCAGATTTTTGCCCATTCACCCAACCTATCCATATCTGTTTGCATCTTCTTTATGTCTTCATCACAACATTAGCTTCTTATCTATCTTTTGGTCATGTGCAAATGTTGCCGCCATGGTTTTCATTTCCCTCATTTAACTCAGTGACATAAATTGCATAAAGCTGAGGCACCAGCACAGACCACTATGGGACTTCACTTGTCACATCCTGCTAATCATCATACTCTCTGTTTTCTGCCAGCCAGCCAATCTTCAATGTTACACCCTACACCATGAATTTATGCTTCGCACAGTAGCCTTTTATGTGGAACCTTGTCGAATGCTTTCTGGAAATTTAAGTAGTGAACGTTAATAATCTCCCCTTTATGAATTACACAAGTTACACCCTCAAACACTCAAATAAAAACCGGTTAAAGATGATTTCCCTATCACAAGACCAGGATGACTCATTCCAATTACCTGGAGTAATTCTAAGCACCCTTAATGATTGAAGGGTTTTGTATAAATTTTAGACTGTATCTGGTTTTGTATTAGGAACAAGTGAAACAGGTTTCTTTAACCAGCAAAGAATAACATTTTTATTACAAATAAAACTAAATGTGCATAGATTATTGGAAAGAATGGTTTAGACTGTGCCAAGTCAGGTATAATGTATTCTAACAACCCAAATTTAACCTGAGAAAAATATAAGTAATGGGCAAACTCTGGTAGATTACCCCACAGCATACATCAAACAGCAACAAATACTTGATACACATTCTATGGATTTGTCAGCAGTCC